ACCTAATTGACCGTACCTATGAAAATTTAAACAATTATCCTCAGATGTCCTTCATATTTATTTTTTTCCAAAACCTGGGATCAAATGTGAGGTCGTGTGTTGCCATTACTTGTCATGTCTCCTTAGTCTGCTGTAATCTGGAACAGTTCATTAGCATTTCTTTGTCTTTCTTGACCTTGATGTTTTTGAGGTCTATGGGCCAGTTGTTTTGTAGTATGCCTCTCAGTTTGGGCTTGTCTGATATTTCTTCATGATTGACTAAAGCTTTGTATTTATTACAATAGCAGAAAAATACTTCTCAGTGTACTGAGAAAGGATATCTTGATATCTATATATATATATATGTGTGTGTGTGTGTGTGTGTGTGTGTGTATACCTCTCACGGGATTCCAGTAGCTGATACTCCTCTAATACCTTCAAGCCCAGGAGCTGTCATGGGCCTCCTCTGTTGTTAACCTGGAAGTGCTGCTTCATCCCTTGTTTTTCCCCTTAGCCTTGCCTGCACCTCTGTAAATGGTCCCTTCATTAAATTCACTTAATGACCCCTTTTGATGTTGCATCTCTTTCCAGCCAGGACACTGACTTGTACATCACTTCTCCGTGTTCCAGCTTCCACTCTTTGGGTAGTCCACATGGTCCTCTGACTAGGTCTTACCTTCTAGAAATGGCCTAGCCCCAAATCTCTTTATTTTGATTAAAATTTGATCTACCATATGTCTTATTTTTTGGGGGATTATACTAGTTTTCCTGTGTAAACTATTCTGAGGATGCTAATGTGTTACCTGTGCTGGGGCATTTGAATTTTAGGGGTTCATTCCTTTATAATCTCAGGCAAAACATTTCTAGACATGGACATCCATGTATAGGTAGTAAAGTTGATATCTGTGATGTCCCTTAAGTAAGCCAGGCCCCAAATAGGGAAGGAGGTGAGAAGGTAAAAGCCAATTCAACAGGAAGAAAGGTTGTTTGACCCTAGGTTCCCCAAAATAACATTTTTCAGAACAACAGTTCTTCAAAATGCTCTGAAAAAAACTAAGGGGATGGTCCTCTGGTGCAATAATTTTTGGAAATACTGCATAACATAACCTGCTATTGAGGATAGATATTGTTTATTAGCTCACTAAAGCTATGGGAAATCCTGTAGTAAATAAACTGGTTTTACTTTGTTTGAGCCAGTTGTATTTCAAATAAGAATAAAATTTCTCAGAACACTTTAACTTTGCTAGCAGCACTCCCTCTAAGGCATCACATAGAATTCTTTGTAAGGGGGTAAATTGTTTTCTTCTAGAAAATTTGAATGCATAAGCCTTTCACATGTAAGAAGACAAACTGTATCAACCATTAGCCATTTCCGTCTTGCTTATAATTTTTGTTTTCTACCTTTATCAGTTTAGTGTTTGATTTTTCAAATATTCTTGAGATATAGGGCTTTGATGTAGGACTAAATGTAGGGCTATAATAAGTGTTATAAAAAAGTATGATAAAAAGATATAAGAAGCTTATGCCAAATCCATGCATTGTTGTATTGCTTTTAACTTGTTTTTCTTTTCCATCTGAATAATCATGTTTTCTGAAGGATCTTACCATGTAAAGGCAATGAAAATATGAATCATCAATATAGTCTAATCAAATGTAATCATAACACCATAATTAATTCTGAATGATTTCATTTTAAAACAGCAAAATTAGAAGCACTGGGGCCCCACCCCTCCTGTCTTTTATAATGTTGTTTGCTTGCTTTGTACTAACCTCAGTCTTGCTGAATAATGATTCACCAGAATAAAGAAAAGTCACACAGAAAGATAAGTTCTGTTTCTATAAAACAAAGACATTCCAAAGAGCCCATAAAATAATGAAGCATCTTTTATTCTAACTGTAAAAGTAGGACATGCTACTGTAAATTATTTAAACAATAGATCAATATATAAAATATAAAGCAAAATTCCCAAGTAATCCTCCTGTTTGGAACTCTTCAGACTCAAAAAATATATATGGGTATGTCTGTGTATAATATATATTTTTGTATGTATTTATATACAGATAACTATAATGATAGAGATTAATTATAAAAATAATAGATATTCATTAAAAAAAGAGATGAGGAAACTGGGCTTCTTTCTATACTCTGTGACCCATTTTTCTGAGTGTGGAACTAACTCTGAATAGCAGTTGCCATTTTGGCATGCTTTTCATTTTCTTTTGGCAACAATACCTCAAATCTAAGCTAACGAAGCCTTAGAATTCTCATTTCTTGACAGGTGCCCATCAAAACCACATATCTTCCCCCCTAGATTTCCTACAGCATTCTAACTGCTCCAAGCTTGCTGAGACCATTCTGCTTAGTCTAGCCATCTTCTAAGCTTCATTTGATCACCCATCCCATGCTAAGGTACTCCTGAAACCTCATGTTTATTTATTATTTGAACGATGGCTCCTGAAGCCATCATTCAAATCTCTGAGTGCACCCTCTATTTCATAACAAACATGTATCTACAGGCTTTTTTATATTCTGATAATGTCTCCATGTGCTCAGCCATCTATATTTAATGAAAAACTATCATTTTCCCCCCAGGCAAATTTCAAACATCTGTGGAGCTATCTAATGCACAGACACGGACTTTCTGTGTGACCTTGGATAATCTTGCTCTACCTTCTGATTATATAAATCTATAGAATGGGGAACACTGTAATGCATATAATTTTTCAGAAATATTATAATAATTAGAAATTGTGAAGTGGTTCGGATTTATCAGCCTAAGTTTTACTGTTTTGGAGATGCCAATCATGCACCATGTTCATTAACTCTTTCAAGCCATTAGGTAATCACTCGGCGTGCACCGCAGGCTGCCTTACTGACCTGACCAGGGGGAGTGTACCGTCCTCAGTCTCTGCCTGTCTCCTCTGCTCTTGCCTTTCCTGGATCTCTGCAGACTTGTATGTGCCAGGTCACAGACTTGAGACAGGGAAGCCCTGATTGTGCTTCAGGTGCTGCCCCAGCTAGAAGGTTTGGCTTGAGCCTCTCTCCCCCTAGGGCTGTCCTGAGAGGTACACCTCCTGGGCTAACCACAGAATTCCTGCATTTTACCTGAATCATTCTCTCTGACTCTTTATTGTTTCTGGATTTGTGCTTTACGGATCAGCCAGGATGGGGGCATCCTCATTTCTTCCTTTTCCATCTCTGAACTGTTCCTAATTGCCTGCACTTACATTTTCTGTCCTAATACCCCTTCTCCCTCCTGTGTCCTCTGTACACTCCAGTTGATATGAATGGGCATCTCCTTTGTCCATGTTTCAAGGTCCTACTTAGGTGATCTCTTCAGTTCCATTTTGCATCTGGGATTTCAATCCTCTTTGCCAGTTATCCTCTTTTAGGAACAAAGCTTAGCCCCTCAAAGCGACCCCATAGCTGGGCCCCCTCCTCTTGAACTGATGTCCAAACCTACCTGGAAGTGGGGGATTTTGTTCTTCAGCAGTTTCCCTTCTTGTGTTCCACCTCATCGTTGGATGGATCCTGCTGATTCTTCACTGCCCTCTGGTTCCTACATGGACCTGAGACTTCTGTCCCCCTGTGCTCTTGGCCTGTGGACAACCAGCCTGCTTCATACAATCTGTCACCCTGCTAATGGAAGGCAGCTGAATAAAAAGTTCTCTGGCCAAATAGGTTCACTAAAGCTCTGTTAAGATGGTTATTCATGTTTCCTTTTTGTAAGACTTACCCAAGATATTAACACATATCCATAAAGGTACAAATAATAGTTTTTCAAAATATTTTTGTTGAGGGAGCATTGAAGGCCTAGTGGTCTACAGAATATTAGACTAGGGAGTCTCCATGGTCTTTCAGTTTTACAGATTCTGATTCAATGATTCACATGAAATATTTTTTGGAAAATGATTGAAGTGAAAAAATCTGTTAGTGTTTAGTAAACTGTCCGAAGAATAAAGATGCACTGTATTTTGGTTTCTAGGGAGTTGTTTTCTATAATGGAATGAGGAGAAAGCAGAAGCCTGAGATTCTTTTATTATTCAATCGTTGTAAGAATTTTATTGAGACCTACAATATGCCAGACATTATTCTTGATCCTGGAGTTCTAATGATGGGCAAGATAAGTATTTTCCCTGCTTTCAAGAATCTTAGAGAAATCATGTCAAGGAAAATATCCTGCAAGCCATTTAATATCTTTGCTTTGAGTCTTTGCATAAGAATCTCATTTTTGTTTCCTTTAAGTTCAAATTCTTAATGTTTAAGAACATCTTTTGTAGGAAACTGGATTCAGGGTTGTTCTTCTATAATTAAGTAAAACTGGCAGAGTATAGAAGCAAATTTGCATAGGTCCACAATATCAGCAAATACACACACACAAGAACACATACACCATATACACAGATAGTACTGAGACAATCTTTATCTGACTAGTAAAACACTATGATTGACAAATATATGAGTTTCTCAGAAAATTTTCCAGAATACCTATAAAACATTAAAATAACCAAGGGGTGTTTGTGAAAAGTGAAGATTCCTGACCTCTACTCCAAACGGTCTGACTCACTAGGGCTGAGGAACATTCATGTTAAACTAGTGCCAGGCCACATGCGCCTACCATTTAAGAATTCCTGACTGTTGAGACTCTGGGCTGGGGGGGTTGGGAGTGGGAGCTCATTGCCAAGCGGCCCTGGGTTGGACAGAGGGACTCGTATTGGCTGGAGGGTTGGTGGGGAAGAGACCAGGCCTCTGATCTCTTGGTGGGATCAGCTGAGCACACCTGGAGGCTTCTTGCTGTTTCCTCCCCACTTTAGTGTATTTTATTTTGTTTTCATGTTAACTGACATGTGAGGAGATCCCTGGATTCTCTCCAGAGAGATGGGAAATCCCTCCTAGTTGAATTTGTATCTTGATTTCATTATTTATTTTAAATTAGATTCAGGTATTGATAAAAATGCAAATACTAGAGTACAGAGGCTTGTGGGATTTTTCTTCTCATGTTACACAGAAATTTAAGAGCCTACTGGTTTCAGATCAAAACTCTCGAAGCCTCCATCACCACATTTCCTGTTTGTAACTGAACAAAGCACACACAAAAGATTGAAGAGACAGAAGAGAGAAAAAACTGAGTTGCAGATAAAGATAAGTCTTACTACCACACTGCTTCTGACATAACAGAGCAACATTACTTAGAAAAAAGGTTGTGGGAGTATTTTTAATCCACACATTTGCCTTATGGCTGCGTAAGGATTTCTCTGAGAAAAGAAGCATGTCAGGTAAGTGGTATTTTTAATTCTTTTGTTTCAATCCTATGCCTAGAAATTCACTTAATACTTTCCAAGTCTCCAAAACAAAGACACTTAATATTTGGAAAGCAAATTGGGTTACACATTATTTTTAAAATATGATATAACCTTTAATATAATGAGTATCTATTTTAAAATATGTTAATGAGTAAACATTATGAATATAACTATTTTCTCTTAAAAGAAAAAAATTGGGAAGTGTTTTATACTGTAAAGCTAATCATAGATGTTCAGTAAGTGTTCGTTGATAATTATGTCATTTAAAGTGTTTTTCAATAAACCTTCATTGACCATGCATAGTCTTCCTTAGTTTAGTTTAGTTATAAAGCAGATTAAGAGTAGCCACATTCTAATTTTTTAGAGTTTGGGAAGTATATTATTTTCCCAGAAATAAGTCCAATTGTCAACATTTCTAGAGATGATAATTGTGCAAAGGCCAGTAAAAATTCAATTGCTTGGAGAATGGGTTGTGAGGGCTGAATCCACATTGATTAGTAAAGTGTCTGCTCCACTTTTATGGTTCATTCCTCTTTTATTCTTTTGTGTACTTTTTATTTCTTTAATACACATCTTTTTGTTGTAAGAGAAAACATGCATATTATGTAAAGGAGGAAAACTGAAATATACATGAAAAAGGAACAATTGTACATAGTTCACATTGCCTTAAAAATACTAGATATTTTATTTCCCTCCAACTTGTACATCTATGCATTCTACATGGCTAGCTTTCATAAGTGAAATAATAACATACCTAAAATCATAAATCCAGCTTTTTTCACCAACACTGTAACATCATTCCCTTTTTATGATAACTTTTGCCTAAATCATTTTAAAGGAATGCACAAAATTATATCTATTGGGTTAATTATAGTTTACTCAGTTACTTGTTTATTATTGGACATTTATGCTGTATCTAATTTTTTGTATTCTAAATGGCAGAAAGATGAACATCTTATTGCTTTTTCTATATTAAGGTTATTTTTCTTAGGGAAGATTTCTAGAATTGGAATTACTGAATTAGAGGTTATGTACCATTTTATTTCTCATTATTACTGAATTGCTTTTCTGAGAGTGATGCCAATTCACTTTCATCCTAGTAGTGTTTCTCCTTAACAGGCTGGCCTTATTTAAAAAAAAAATTTACTAATAAAAAGCACAACATGCTAACCCATTGTTTAATATACATTGCTTTGATTATAATGAAGTTGAACATTTTTGCACTTTTTTTTAACTGTTTGTAATTCTATAATTTGTGAATTGTCTGGTTACATCTTTTGCTTAATTTTATGTTTATAGGACTTTTAATGTCAAGTTATATGAGCCATTTACAAAGATGTCATATAATTTCTGTGAATTTTCTTCTCAGCATTTTGTTTGCTGGATTTTAAAACCAATATATTGGATTAATAACACAAGGAGCATAATCTGACATATGATTTTCACATAGCTTCTTATCTTTTCCAGGTTGACAGTTTAGCAAAAAACAAAAGCAATCATTCCAATATTGCAAGTGCCCTGTAAGAAATGAACATAGCTGCACTGTGAACAGCTGCCATGGGCTGAGGATGATGGGGAATTCAGGAAGGGTGGGAAGGCCAAAGACAATGAATATGACATTCAACTATTTCCAGAAATAACTCACTCTAGTTTTATGAGGGATAAGACAAAATTTCCCCCATACCACTTTATAGTTTAGATTCTCCCTTCAGATGTAATATAGGGGGCTCCTCTACTGTCAGTTATAACCTCTTACAAGTCCACAGGAGAGAGAAAAATATAAAGCATTTGCCATTAAAGCCTCATCGATCTTTAAAGAAAAAACAAAACAAAACCAAAACCCAAAAAAACCTTAATGTGAATGAAGAGAATCAGTCATTAGTATGTTTTATATTTAGACAAGTGAAGTAAAAAAGATGATAAATATGAACAAAACAAAAAAGTGAAATTATTCCTCAATAAGTAAAACAATATATGAAAAGAAAACCCCAAATCTTCTCTTTTCTCCTGCCTCTCTGCCTTGTAGCCCCTGTTCCCTTCTGTCCCCCTACTTATGTCTACCTATCTACCTACTCTAACAGTACTGCATCAATAAAGGGGCCAGTATCAGAATTCCTACTGCATTTCTGCATTTACGTAGGATCAGTATTAGCTGAATCAAATGGTGAAAACAACTCCTCTGGGCTACCATTAGTTTATTTTAAACAATGATTTGTCATTTAGTTACGCATTTTTTTAAAAAAAGGATTTTCATTGTATTATTGTGTTTAATTTTCTTTTCCCTGGATCCTTGATCACGTTTTTAGCACAAGGAAGGCCTTTCTCTTAGAGATTAGGTATGACAAATTTAGGAATCATCTTTTAAACTCAGATGCTCTTTAAATTGAAGATGTCAAAAACAATATGTTTCATCATTTAATTTAGGTAATGTTTGGCAGCAATATTAAGGAGAGTCGATCTAGGAAAGGTTGTTACTTAAAGGTTACAGCTCTCAGAAATCAATGTCCACAAATTTCTAGTTAAAAATAAATATCATTATTGGTCATTTTCTCAGGCATTTTTAAAAATTTCATTTAATCTACTCAGCATTCTTGAATTTAAAAGGAGAGAAAAATTAACAGGACTTCTTAAAACATTAAAGAAACATAGATGTTAAAGTGTTTTGTTGGGTGAAAGTATCCCCACACCCACGCCGTCTTCAGAGGGTCACACCAAGGTGCTTCTCCGGCAGGAAGCAATAAACACCTGTGTAAGTGGGGCGGCTGAATGCTGGTAAAGACAGACTCACCCACCGCAGGGGTTCGGGCAGCACTTCGATCCCGGTAGGATTTCCCAGCCAACGTTTAATTATACAACTGACAAGGAGTCTACTGCTGAGGGAACCATGACACACTGTTCTTAAGACTTTAAGTCTACTTTCCGCCTCACTCCCGTATGTTTCCTCAGTTAGATTCGGTAAGTATTGGTGAAGAGCAATCATGATATACTAGAAAGAGAGACATTCATGTCACACAGAAGGGGAGCTGAATTCTAGTTTTAGGACTGGCTTGGTGAAGTTCAGTGATGGACAGAAAGCCCCACAGGGAATGAGTGACTACGCTTGGTCTCCGTCTCCTCACTGTGAATGGACATGCCCATGCCCCACACTGCTGCTGCCTCACTGCACCGCACCTCTCTGACACACAGTCTTTACTTCTTGAACAACTCTCCATTTATAATAGACACTCATTTAAGGCTGACAGGTTTCAAGTTTTGCATTAAAAACAATATATTTTTTACTCGAGACCCTGGGACTGCATTTGAAAATCCCTTCCAGTGCTCCCACCTACAACTTGAATGCCTTTTATTGATGGGGTGATGGATGGTAGGGGGAGGGGTGGATAGTGACAATGTCACATTCTAAGAGTCATGAAGTATGTGCCTAATTTGTCATCAAATCATCACCACAGTAAAAAAAAACTCATTTTATAAATAGAATCCATGGGATTGTTATAGAAGAACTTTTTATTTGACCTTTCTGGGGAGCCTAAAGCAAACATCCACGTTCATGGAATGCAAAGAGGAGATGGTCACTGCTCTGACAGTGTTCACCAGCCAAGGAAGAGAAGAATCAAGAGAAGTCATATCCTATATACTATAAGCTCGTACACCTGTCTCAATTACAGACTCCCTGAAAGAGAAACAAGACACTGTATTTATTGCTTTTCTATTGTTTATTGTGTAACTATAGGCTTCTGTATGAATCAAATCTTCCAGCAGGAAGACATTACATATGCTTAACTGTGTTTCCTTCTAAAACATATGTAATTGTGAATTCCAAATACAATGCCTGCCAAATACCATGGGTGTTATGAAAGTCAGAGGTTATATAATCAAACCTACTACAATTAGCCCCTGGCAGTTGAAAGCTAGTCAGAAGTTTAAATTATTGTTTCCTAGCTGTCATGGCCTCACTAATAACTTCTTGAGGCCTTTGGCTTTTTAACAGTGTAAATAGCTAAATTCAAATTGTGTGGGACTTCTTTTCAAGTTGATGAAAGCTGTATAAATGAAAGTAATTACAATTAATGAATAATGATACTAGTGATTGCATTTGTTGGGCAAGAATTTTTAAGTACTTTGTGCAACCATTATTTATAAGTGACACTATACTTTATAGATAGCTGCAGAGGTCTGGAGAGATTCATACTGCATATGGAAAATAACTGGGTCAGGGGAGGTATGAAGTGTGTTTGTGTGTGTAAACATTTATACAGATCTGCCATTGTAGTCGAAAATCTCCACCATTTGGATACCCAATATCTTCTCATCTTATCTCTGTGTGTTTTGTTTTTCAAAATGGGAGCATTTACTGTTGGCAATCAAAAAATTATCAAGGATATCAAGAATGTCCTAAATGCAGTTTATAAGTGAAAACCTTCCTGTTTAAAGCTCAGATCACATTACAAAGAGAAAAAAATATTAGAAGACAGAGGAGTTAGATAGGAATTATAGACTCCTGAAATTAGAGGAAACTAGACACCATGCTAATGTGACCCCACACATTAGAATTGAGCCTGTGCCTTAAAGGCCCCTGATTGGTTATGTGAAATAAGTTTCCTGTTATTGTAAATAACAAAATCCAGCCCTAAAGGAATCTACACTGTGGTCCAGGTTCTTCCCTTAGTATTACTGACATACTTTCATGAAAGTTATTAGGATTTCCCTTAAAGCTTTTATATAAAATGTAGGCTCGTGATTTGATTTGGTTGTTTCCTTGTAGCTGAGAGTGAAATATCTTCTTGCAGCAATTAATGGACTAATGCAACATTTTCAGTGCTTCCTTTAATTAAAAAAGAGAAAAAGAAACTTCAGAGTAAAATTTAATTTTGTGCCATTAATAGGATAATTTAAAGCTAGAATCAGTGTAATTTTCAACATAAGATTAGGGCTTTCTGCTTAATGCCTTGAAGTATGCCTTTTTATACTATTCT